ACAAAAGAAAKACATTTTTTGCTTCATCTGAAACGAGCAAATCTGTAATTAAAACTTCATGATTCTCATTCAGTAGGAAAAAAAAGTTGATTTTTCTATTGATTTTGGACACTCTCTGCTGTTTAAATTTCATCACATTGACGTTTTTTTTTTTGACTACGATATCATTTTGACTATTAATTAATTAAATAATGATGGTTGTGGTTAAAATGACTTTGTATTATATTTTTTTCTTAAAGCTGTTTTTTGAGTTGCCGTTTATTAAAGTTATGTTTTCCACAAACATTTTTGTTATTTAACTTGCGTAAACTCATTTGTCAAAGTGACATCGTTGACAAGAAAGTAAAACCGGCAATGTAGAGATTTGTCAACAAGAAATTACCACCTAGGATTTGAACTTTTATGAAAATTACGTTTTTCATGTTGTTTGTAACTAGAATTTTCAGAAGTAGTTTTGTATGCCCCTTGTTGTCGGTTGACGTTTTCTGTCAACCTGCTGTCAACTATCAATTAAATTATGCATACAAGCTGACAGGTGACTTAACCTTAATTTTAACACTAGTTATGATATCTTTTGTTCGTCATCAGAAACCAATGTAACTAAATTTATGGCAACCTATTCACAAATATCCCTAAATCCTATGGAATAATTTCTGGTTGATACGACAATAATAAGATTTAAAAAACGCAGAGAAATAATTATAAGTCCAAAATCAAGACAAAAATGAAGTTTTTTTTCCACTGAGTCAGGTGAAGCAAAAAATGTTTTTCCTTTGCAGTTTTGGCGTAAAATAAAAGATAAAAAAATCCGGGGACATACTGTATAAAAAAAGCAATTTTTAAAACAACGCGATTTTTTAAATTGTCACTGAATCATTTTTTCATAATCAGCGTGACTAAAAAGCAAAACTTTTTCGCAAGACGATGTCAGATAATAAATTTTAAACAGAGAAAGGGTTGGCAGTTCATCGCTTATGCGTGGTGAATCATCGGTATGGGCGTTCGTTCCGAAATGTGTTGTTTATTTTCAGAGTTTGAACAGACAATCGATTTATTTGTCAACAGTGACCCAGTGGCGTAACGCCAGATTTGCAACGCCCCCGAATCGCCTCGCGAAAGTGATTAATTCTTYAGGGATTAAAAACAGAATTTATGGATGGTTTCGTGAGYGTTTAYCACATTTTTTCCATTCTTTCGCTGGGCCAAACGTAAAAATAAATCTTGGAGTAAAAATAGTCGWTAAAATTTTCCGAAATGTAATTTTTAGTAGCAAGCCCTTGAAGCATGAGGTCAAGTAGTTTAGTGTTAGGATGCCAAAAGTTTCATTTTCGCTGTAATATTGTTAAGACAGGTAAATATTTTCACACGCACTGGAGGAAACCATTTGATATSTCCTGAAAAAAGAAGAATTTCGCTTCAATTGGAATAACTGTTGACCCAACGGAAAGCTCYCTTCGAGGATAATTTATTGCAGTACTCAATTACGCTTTGATAAAATTTTGTGATCGATCTAATGGGTGTACCTCGGTGGGCGGCGTCGCCGCGTCCGGCTCCAGGTGAATAATAAATTTAGCACAAAGTCTTGAAATTATTCGAAAAGACGCGAAATGTCAAGGCGTTTGAAATATCTTATGAAAAATCTCTTCGCATCGCACATAAAAATGTATTTATGGAATCGTCATTGATGCTGACACAAAAACAAATTGCCACGTCCTCTAAAAATGTTACGGCTGTCGTTGAGAAAAAACGACGTGTTTTGACGCMTTTTCTCAAAATTAACATTTCTCATTTCATCCGCCAAAATCGCTTTTATCTCCGATTTGATAATATCGAGTGTAATGGGAGACGCTGATACATCTAGACTACAGATAACAGTCAATAACCGACGAATTTGTTTTTATTGTTGCACRTTGCTTTTCCAAGAAAGCACCCGAGAAATAATTTTRGCTTAAACGTTTTATCCTGACCGTCGCATAAATCAAGACTTGTCAGGCTTTATGCAGCTTGCAGTTTTTTTCGTGTATTTTTAGATTATTTTTGCATTTTTCCTTTGGAGTCCGAGCCAGAAATTTTTACTCTGTTTTTAGATTTTTTGTGTTAACTCCATGTTTATGTCTTCGTTGACGTTCGCATATAAATAAAACGCTTATTTTTCTTGCGGATCATTTGTGGTTCTTTTTTCCTAACCACAAGACGAACTGTTACTTTGTATACAAGAACCCGCATGGGTTTTAATTGCGAAAAATGCAACACACCACCCGGAGTTTGACATTTTCGATCGACCACAACCAATAAAACTTCAATCAAGAACAATGACAAGCAGATTAGTTGGCATGGCATGAAATGGCATGCACTCGGATTAGTCCGGGACCGAAATTTTAGTTTCATTATTTGAAGTCGTTGAAAGCTGTCCCTATTTGGATCGAATATAAACAAAAATAAGATGATCGATAATGTATTCGAAAACAAAACTGTTAAAACGCCAGAATATTTGGTAAACAAGTTTTAGCAAAATGATGTTGCCAATGTTTCATATCCGAATAAWGCCATTTTTCATATTAATAGACCCCCGGTCACACACGAAGAAAATTTCATTTTTGTTATTTTGAGTCATAATGACAATAACGAAACCTGCTCCTTGATGTCATTCGTTCAACATCTTTAATCATTTACCAACTGCTAATTGGTCAGAAAATATTTTTTTATTAATTCATTAATTAAATTATCAACGTTTGGTTATCTATTTACATTTTATAAGTACTGATAGAAATTATCACCAAAAATTTATCTTGGTGTAATTGTATGTCGTCATTAAAAGAGATCATTAACCTATTCTCGCAATTTTTCTAGACGCAAGTTCAGATTCCTTATTTAGATAAGTAAATAGCACAACTTCAAATAGAAACCGCTTTAATTTCATTAAATATCGATTCTTACACATCAATCTACATCAATTCATTTGAAGAAAATTTGAATATTTAAAAATTTAAATCATTATTGTTTTCACCGTAATAACATGATGATTTGATGAAAGTGACAACTAACACGTGAATTCAAATAGAGAAATGCTTCTGACGTAGGAAACAAGGTCACTGTACTGTTATCATTATCAGCGATTGTCACTGGACCACCCACCTGTTGTATGCTGTTATTTAACAATTTTTACGAAAACTCTTTGTACTGTTATGGAAATTTTTGAATTGTAGATCGTTTACCTAGTTACATATTAACTTAAAAATCCATTTATTGTAACAATTAACTTCACGCTTGTAAACCAACATTTATTGTTGTTTGACGACTTTTGCTACTTTCCTAATCTAGTATCTTGCGTAATTCATTCAATGAAGACAATTAGCAACAGTACTTGTTTTACAAAAATCAACCGAGTTAAAGAAAACTAAACACCAAAAAATCACTTCACAAAATAGAGAATTTCAAATTTTAAATCAAACAAATGGATTCTTGTAAAAATGGATTCCAAAAGTGCAAAATAAAAATAACAATATAAAAACTATTCCTTTGAATGCAAAAATGTTTATTCCAATATTTTTTTTGGTACAAGTGACAATAATTTTAAACAATAAAATGTGTATTATACATCAACATCAAAACCAAATTTTGAAGAATCATACCACAACCAACCGTCATAATCATTAGTTAAAACAATGATTTGTGCCCTAGAGTTAGTTATTCGATAAAATTTAGTGATAAAGATTATCCATAAATAATAAAAAAACAAAACTTCAGTATAATAATAATTTTATATTTTTTGTAACTACGGTTAGTTAAGGTTTATTTTCTTAGTTTTATCTCTTTAACATAAATTCTTTGCACTTTAATGAAAAAAATTTTATCCGCAAAAGTCAYAAAAATGACACTTTTATGACTGAATGACACAAGTAAAAGTTTTATTTTTCAGACATGGAGTAAAAACACTGTTTTTTCGCCTAAGCGTTTTTCACTTTCACCTGACATTTACTGTGACATCTCACTATGTTGTCTCCTTCTGATTTCTTTCGCTGCTTCAGCATTTTCTGGAGAGGTACAGTGTAGACTACTACACTAGTTATTCACTATTTCAATCAATCAATACTTTCGAAAATCGCAATACAAATTCCGAAAAACTGACACGCGACGTTTCTTATGATTTCATTGCAAAACGTCCTATTTATTTCGGTCATTTAGTTCATAATTATTATGTTGCTCTTTACTCTCGATCTAAATACGTTTTCGGATAAAATAYTATACTTAATGTTATTTGGAGTAAAAGTGAGTTTATGTGGCTCAGCTGAATCATTCAAAATAAACGTTCAGCTTCGCCACATAAACTATCACTTTTACTCCTAATAACYTAATATACTATTACTGTAAACGTATGGTAAGTTTTCGAAATGCCAATTTTCAAAACTGTCGCCACAGCGTCGAATTTTAATCAATTCCTCGCTATTGTATAAAACTGACATTAACTATAAACACCACTCAATTAGTAAATTTATTAACGTAGTTTATTTTTTTTTGCTAAAAAAAACTCGAAATTCATCAAATGCTAATTTAATTTTTTCTTGAAACCCGATACATTCGCATCAATTTCGCAAAAAACTGGCTTAATTAAATAAACTTGAAACACGATGCTCTTCTTTACCCTTAATAATTCGGTTTTGAAAACAGTCGATGTTGAAAGATGAAAGTATAGAAAGACATAATATTCTCACGATAATAGAGAAATCGGCTTGTTGCCGTCAATTATCTCCTCTAGTTATTGCATTATTCCAATTCAGAACAAAGTCTATAATTTTTTTGTCAGAAAATATATCAGATTCCTGCCGTGTGTTCTCCCGTTGAACCGCATTTCCTACAAGACTCGGCGAGATGCTCCAAATAAATTACAGAGAAATGACGAAATTTCAGTCACCTCAATCAAGTCTGGTTTATAATTTGAGTCTGGATGCTTTCCAAATCGTCACGTTTTGAAGATATAGTGATAAAGAATTCAGCCTTACCGATTTTTCCGTTGGGGCTGTAGGGGTCGTAGCTGCCAGAGGACATGGGTGAGGAGTACCCGTTGCTGATGACGGTGTATGGGTGTGAGGGGGGTCCCGGCGAGGGAGTCAGGGGCGGCACGTTGCCGCTGGGTGAGCTCAACCAATCATCGGTTCTTTGCCTTTTGCTAGCACTAACACCACTACCAATCGAACTGAACGGTCCACTAGAAGACAGTCCATTGCTGGGCACGTTGTTGGTGAGGCCGTTCAACGATGAACTGCTCGCCAAAGTCGTCACCAGGCCGTTGTTCGTATTGGCACAAAGGAGGTTCGAAGCGGCCCCAGATGGCAAGCCGTTGTTGCCGGTGGCGCAAGGCGAATGCAACTGGGGCTCCGATTTGACAAGCAGCACGTCATCTTCACGGTAAATCATCTCGTGCTTGATGTCCATGCTGCCCAAATTACTGCTACATATGGCTGTCATTAACTGGGATTACCGGGGGGGCGGATCCAAACGAGACATACTAACAACAACTGAAACAAAAAATCAAATTGAGGGAGACTCTTCGATCTAATAAACAAAACGATAGATTGCTTGTTAAAGGGGGTTCCCTCTTTCGCTGCCCAGTGTATATTATCAAGTCCCCTGTGGGGTGTCTTGAAAGCTATTGACCTGAATCGGGATGAAAAACTGACTCTCTATATTACACTGCGTAGAACTAAAGAGGAAAAGTCAATACTTCCGACACGATTGAAAATGACTCAAAGCCAAAATCCTATTGTTTTTATTTATTAAATTTATTATACAGCAGACTAGAACAAGAAAAAGCAATCAACTATACACAACACCACTTATTTGGTAAATTCCATTAAGAACAACAAAAAAGCTTCACGTAGGCGAAACTTATTAGGAAAGTCCCACCTCAACGTACAAAAATTTTACCATCAGTTATTTATCTAACAACGGTGTCAGTGTCCACTGGAATAAACACGCTATTATCAATTTTTTCACATGAGGTCATGGTCAAATAGGTCGCTATTTCGTAACCGTGATTTTATACGAAATAGAAAACATAAGTGATTTGTGAGTTTGCAGTGGGTAATCTATCGCGCAATTTTGGCAACGAGAAACAATTTTTTTTTCTAGAAGTGTGACGAAATTTGATAACAGAAAGAGGAACTTTGAACGCGTGAAGATATAACTCTTTGTCAAGAAGTGTACTCATTTTTTTATTTTCACTCGCGTGACCTCTTAGAAAGCGAAATCTTGAACTTGCATTGCCAAAATGAAAACGAAACAATAACATTCTTGCTTTAAATATATTCAAACTGCTTCAACCCAAAAATTAGAAAATGTAGGTTGCTACGATATTTTTAGAATGAACATACTTTTTTTTATACAGGGTGAATATAAAGTATGGAAACAAGCGCCTCCAGAAAATAATAATTAACATAAATTAAAGTAATACAGTGTGTGAGAACTCGCGCCCCAGAGAAAAATTTCAAGTAAGATAAGATACCAGAAACATAAAAAAATGTTTAAAAAATTCTGTCAAGAAATTCTGACATTTATTTTTTGACATTTTTTTATGTCTATTTATGATACTGATGATTTTCTATATGTTTTTTTTTATAATTATATAGTAAAGATACAAAAATTTTGCCAATAAAAGCCACAAATAACGATGAACAGTGTTACAATTTAGGATACAAGTTCCTTGTTTCCTCTTCTAATAGCCTGTAGGAAAAAAACTTGAAAAATTATTTTTCCAACAGAAATACCTATAGTCAAAGTGCAAAATTAAAACTTTCTCATAACTTCGAAATTTTTATAGATAGAATTTATTTAACATTTTCTCCATGTTCTTGGTATCTTACCTTGCATGGCATTTTTCTCTGGAGCGTGAGTTCTGGCGCACGCTGTATAAAAAATGTAATCATATTTTGAGTTTTGTTTTTGAGTTATACATTTTTTTTATGCAAAATTACAATTTATGTAAAAAAAATAATTAAATATTATCCGTTTTTTTAATAAACAATTACAACATACAACGAAAATTCTTTCTAATTTTGACATTGACAATTGTTTATTAAATGGAACAGACTATATAAAGTACCTAGATAATTGTAATCCTAAGATCATAACCTTCATGAGAAAAATGGATTTATAGTTAAAAACATTTGAAAAAATAAAAAATGTAGAACTCAAAAACAAAAGAAAATATGGAAAAATTTAATTTTTGATAAAATGTCGCATTTTTGTAGTACTTTATCATTCATCAATTAGTTTTTCCAAAAAATAGATAGTTTAAGCAAAAAACGTTTGTTTCCATACTTTTTATTCARCTGGTATATCGCTCAAAGAATTATAGAAATCAAATGAATTTTTTTGAACTTCAACAATTATTAATTAATTAAAWGAAAAGCGATCATTAAAAAATACAAGTAAATAAATATGTACTAAAACATCCGAAACTATAATTACTTTATTCATAAGTCAGGTTGTTTCAAAGAATTTCCGGTACTGTTAAAAAAATCATAAAAAACAGACTAACCAGAACACAAAAACATAATTAGTGCTTTATAATTTTTACAAATGAATTAATTTATTGTTAATTAGGTAGACCTAGTGTTTATGTTGTAAACAAGTAAATACAAATTTTGTTATTATAAAGCTTTCTTTAATTTTAATTGTATCCAAATACAGCGAAATAAATCCCAAAAGAAATACAGGGTCACTAAAAAGTATGGATACAATTAAACATTATAAAAACTTTTTATCAAAACTTATTGAAATTTGGTATATGCTTAAAAGTATTTAAATTCCATCGCCTTTGATGTTTGTCAAACTTCTATCTTCATTTGTTTTGGGGATACAAGGCTAACATGATTTTTTTTTTAAATGTCAAGAATTATTATTAAGAAGAGCATTTTTTTCTTGTTTAAATAGCTTTCATTTGATGTAGTAGGTAGTATCATTTAAATTTTTAAAGTTTGGGAGACTGAGAATTTAGGGGTCACTGGCGGTGCTTTAAAAATTACATTAAAAATGTCCCCCTCAGAAACAAAATTGACCAGTTTCGGCGTTTTTGCAGTCTTTTTAGTTTCTGAGTTATTCGGGGTGGCTCGTTTTCATTGGAATACCTGTATGGTGCATTTAGTTAATATGGAGTGTCCCAAAAGCAAACCGCCATACGTCAACCCCTGATAGAAAATATCATCCTGAGAAAAAAAGTTTGAATAATTTTTATTCTATCATACATTGGTATTCGTAAATAACGTTATGTGTCCAGATTTACCTTTAGCGGTGCAATTAGTTSGATGTTTTTTACTTGTTACATCAATTAGGTGTACCAAGGGAAAAAAATCGTACGCAATTTCCACCGAAGCCAATTAATTGGCTTAGAACGGCGCAGTACACACGTAGTGTTATTAATTACTATCGAAGTATGTTAACGGGTCAAGCAGTGAGAGTTGCCACATTCCCCAGATTATCTAGGCGTTCTAGCGCGCACTCTATCCAGTTAATAATAATCGGTTTGTTTAGCTCGCAGCAGCAGCAGCACATTTAATTGATTCTAACGGCAACCTCTCCATTTTTCGCCTCGGCGAAACGCCAATTTCGTTATCATTCGATAATTACACGGCACAATGCCGCTACCGCCGCCGCCGACGTCGATTTCCAGGTAATAATCCTGAGGGGGTCGTCTAGACGGCGAGAGGAGTGCACTAACCAGGACACAAGGTCGTGGAACTGGGAAAGTGAAATCCTCGCCGACGCATAAAAAGTGTATCGACGGGCCCTGCGCCGCGATAGATGCAACCGACCATAGGATCTGGCCGCCGCCGACACCGCCTCCAACCAGAGACTGGTTTTCGGCGGCGGGATCGATACCACCAGACACAACATACGCACACCCGCCACCCTTAGAACATCTACAGAGGATGGGGAGAGTGGCGGCTCCTGCATTATTACACGTAGGGATGGGTGTACGCAGATATCGACTTTGCGACGATAAAAAATGCACGAGAGAAAGCCAACTAAAAGAATTTTTGCGTTTTCGACGAAAAATGCCTCGACTGAAATTGACAGAGTGTCGAAAGAGGCTCAGACAAGCAATTCTGTAGATATTTTTTAAAGAAAATATGTTTATTAGCATACCTGTATACCCAACGAAATAAATATCTATGACTAGAGCTATTTACATTTGCTATTAACACTTTACTTTTACTTTAACAATTAATAACAGTTATTTAGGCAAGTTGAACTAAAATACCGTTTCAAACTCGGCAAAAATGTTCCTTTGAAATTGAAAAAATAATTTATCAATCGTAGAATTTTCAACTCAAGCTTTGGGAGGAAATGTGTAATAGCATTTCTCATTTTTGCTGTCATTTAACAATGTTATGGGTAAACCAGGATGCAATTACTTCATAAAATTTAAAAAAAAAACAATATTAAATTTTCTCTGATTTCACCAAATTGGACTCTTTTTCTGGTGTATTCTCAGATCAGGTTGTGATGGCCGGGATGGTTAATGCATTGTTTCTTCCAACACAATCGTGTATTTTACTATGATCATCAAGAAGTAATCAAATTTTACTTGGATTAAATAAAATTGACATTAAATGTCACAGCAGTGACAGCTATGTCATTCGTAGTGGATTGTTTCCAAGGTAATGATACGCTCAAAATTCATACTTTTTGATTTTGCAGCGCGGTGTAGAGTTTTGTTTAAACCGAAATAACTCGAGAACGGTACATTTTAGCGATATTAACAAGAGTACTTTTTTATGAAAAAATGATGGGGCTTTTGATTTTTGGCATCAAAAATATCTGTTAATAGGCTGAAAAAAGGAGTTATGACCCAAAAACTGGAAGGGTCCCATTGTCACCGGAAATCGTTAGCTTTTACAAGACTTCCGTTTACACCATATCAAAGAGTGTCTTTTTGTCCCTTAACATGCAAAGTTTCATAATAATCGGATAAACGATAACTAAAATATTTCCAAAAAATCATTTTCCATARCGAGTTAGGTCAGCAAATACTGTGCTCTCTATTCTCATTTGTAGAGGGGTATTCGTGGTTAAAATTATGCCACACATTTTTGAAACACGCGATATAGTAGTAGCAATACGTATAATAATAATAATAGTAATTATTATAATAATTATACCTACATAAGTATCTGTAGGTATAAAACCTTCTGGACGAAAAAGAAAATAAACCTTTATTCACTACATACTAAATATTCTACACTAGAAATAATCTCACTAAAATTGTTTAGAAATGTTATTTCCTAATTTTAAAATATGCTATAATATTAATATAATAAGCAAAAAAATTAAAACATAAATTTGACTAAGGGCCAGTTTCATAGTGAAATTTAAAGGAGCTTTAAATTAAATGTCGCTTAGAATGTTCTGATTACTACGGACTAAAAATTTCTAAACCAACATTAATTTAAAGTCCCTTTAATTCGATTATGAAACTGGCCCTAAGTATTAAGTAGGTACATGTATTAAATGTGAT